GCGATCATTTCTAAACTACTCTGAAGTGCGAACGAATCGCCTCGAGCATCGAGCTCGTGAGCGGATTATTGAACTCGCTGCTCGTTTGCAATTCAATCGTCAAATGGGCGAGGCTTCGGGGCAAGCCTTGAACTTTAAGATGATCTCAGAAATCGCAACATCTCCCATCGCTTTATCAAGCGACTCACGACTCAGCGTGCTGTCTCGTGTCCGTTTCCGCGTCATCTCGCGATGATCTAAATCCATTATTTCTCTCTTTGTGACAAATTAGAATAAAAAAAAAAAACAGATTTTCTGAACTTTACGTTACAGTAGTGCGATTGATCTCACAATCAGCCATATTAACCGTTATCAACCGTTATCAACTCCTGTTGCGAAAAATTGACAACAAATAAATTTTTTGTAATTGATAGCTCTCACTCTATTCAATGACGATTAAACGAGTATAACTGAAACTTCTATAATCCTATGTCGCCGCTTCACTGAAGCGGGATGAGATGTGAATTATTTATTTCGCATTGTGCGGTTTGATAAAGTGCCATTCTATTTTTCCGTAATTTTTCGGTTCTGGTTTCCATCGCTCTGATTTTTTTTTTTTTTTTTTTGTAGTAGCCGATTAATTTTTCTACGCGGCCAGAATACTTCAGCGTGATGATCGCGATGAATATTTGGATGGAAGAGATCAAATTTGAGCACGATTGTGCGAAACATCGTTATGTGAGATGTAACACCATTCTTCTCTTTCCTTTCCTCTCAAGCTTTATGTGGACGATAACTTAGCGTTTACCAGGAAAGTGTTGGGACTTTTATTTCTGTTGCTTTCGCTCGTAAAGAACTTTCCACTACGCTTCAATCGCGCTATCCCTTGCGAATTCGCGTGACTTACGTCTGTCCACGTGTGTATTTCGTCTCTGCGTGTATTCGCGCAATAATAGTCGTCGACGCGGTTAAATGTAAAGGTAACTGTTGGTCGTCACGCAGTGTCTTTTCGCGGGCAAGCAGGTTCTTTCATGTTCTTCCATCGTTAACTAATTGCCGCTGTAAATTAGAGTATGGCAGGAAGGAGTACGACGATTGACGTAACTCCTCGTTCATTTATAATCTCTTCCGTGAAATTTCCTCAAATACGTGCTAATTAATGGCCTAGTCACTTGGGCGTGCTTAACGTGTTTCACTCGGCCACTAATTAGTTCATCTTAAGAAACTCTTTCCATCCTATCTTATATTATCGCGCCGCGATCCCATATTAGAATTGTTGTTTTGTGTTCTTCAGTTCGAATTACTTTGGCATCTCGGTCTGTCTTTTTTTTAACTACTACTCTCTATATGTTTAATATTTCGTGAAGCAGTAATATGAATATTTAGATTTTAGAAGATTGGCGGAAAATGATATTATACTCTCTAATTTTTTTTAGAATAAAATATCATTCTCAGAGTGAAATCTCATTCTTAAAAAAATTGAAAATTCCGCCACTCTTTTTCAAAAATAGCAAAATTTGTTCGCTCTTTGGAATGAGATTCCACTCCAAAAAATTTAGAGAATATAGGAGACTATGAATATAGGAGACGAATGTAGCTAAGCAAAACAGACCTAAACTTTGCGTTGCTTACTTGCTTCCTATTCACTTATATACAAGTGAACCTAATTTAAATATCTGTTCTTTTCTTAAACATTATTCTTGAACATTACCTCGGAATGCAGCTTAATTTATTCGTCGACGAAATTGTTATTTATTACCGACGGTCATTGTGCTTCCTACATTATTGTATCTCAGTGTTACGTCCATTCAGCAATGTGTGCCTAATCTTCGTCAGCGTCATTCTCTCAACTGTGTTTGTACGTGTCATCTCTCAAATTGACCTGCATCAGTCGAGTCATCGTGCCGTTCTCGGCGACATAAATCTTCTCAGATTAGCCTGAGTGCAATTCTTACAGCCTGCAAGGAAGACCAATTCGAATGCGCGCCTGGTTATTGCGTGCCCTTATCACGGCGCTGTGACGGATACACGGACTGTATCGGTGGAAGGGACGAACAAAATTGTTACAACATGAGTACGAATTATCACTATTTACTCCAATCAGCTGCAAAACAACACACTCAGTGCGAAACATGTAAATCAGTCGGCGTTGAAATAACGTGGCCGCACATCTGCGCACGAAATAGCCTTTACGTTTGCCAAGAAACTCGTTTGACTCGTTAAACTATTTAACAAGAAATGTCGCGATAAATTTTTTACTATTATGGGTATCAAATTGCGTACATTGCGTAACCCGATGATATTCTAGAGTCGCATTACGAGCGGTCGTCGTGAAATTCCAACGCCGATAATTACGGGGACACGAGGCAACTGAGAACTGTTTTATTTCCTTTTTTTTTTTATTTCATAAAATTTGGTAATCGAAACAAATTGCATTCGCGATCGAATTTTGAGAGGCATCGGTCTCGTGTTCCCGTGTCGCATGGTTCGCGATACTCGCGCACACGAGACGCCAGAACATTTCGCAACACGCATCTCTGCGGCGAGAGGTAGGTACGAATCCTATTGCATCTTTTGGGTATATACGGTGGAAGGATTAAACACGAATTTTCCTGCGTGAACGATGCCTGCGCAGCATGATATTTGAAAGCTCCCGCATTTTTAACTCATTAGGAACTAGCGCATGATAATTTACGCATGCGACTCTGGTTACATCATAAAGTTATGCAGAAACTCGCGAACAGGTATTCACACTTGCAATAACGCGACAGCGATTCTTGAGCATAATTATTCATGGATATGTGGTAGCACATATGGCTGCGAATTTACTCCGCAAAACAGTCACAAGCAGTTAACAGTGATACGCGGAGTAACCGTTTTCCAACTGTCGGGAATAAATTAAATTTTAACTAGTAATTTTTAATCTGCTTGAAAGAAACTCACACGAGTGAAGAAGAAGCTCTACGACAGTTTTTTCTTTTTAAACCAGATTGATCTGAATATAGAAGATTATATGTAAAATCGAGTTGTAAAATCGAAATCTTATTCGCAATTGACAAGATGCAAAATCCAAAAAGAATTCTCACAAATTAAAATTTTAAATATACTCTAAGTATGCTATGAAACTATCATCAAAGTAAAATGTACCTAATCAGCTGAATTGATTTGTCTTTATTTATAGAAAAATACGTTTTTAGATTTTAGGTCTCGCGATGAGCAGTCAAAGTCACCGACACGAATTCCAAACATAAAAGTAACGCGACACTACAAATCTATATTTACTATAGGTCAAGTGGATTTCTTCAAATAGTTGCCA